AAAAAAAAAAAAAAAATGTTGTGAAATACAATGGGATATAACCTGCCCCCAAATGCAGCTGCCCAGACTAAACTTTCAGACTATATAAATATAATTCAGTGTTGGTAGGTGATGTAAATGGTTAATGCATCCTCAGCTGCAAACCAAGACTGGAGGTTCAAGTCTGCCCAAAGATACACTGGAAGAAAAGATCTATTTCTACATCAGCCTATGAAAACCTTTTGGAGCACAGATCTACCCTGACACTCATGGATCACCACGTGTCTGCCTAAATTTTATGGTAACTGGTCTGGTTTATATCCGTATTTCAGAATGTGGACAATATAAAAGAATGGAGATTCTTGTATCAACTAAGTCCACATGAAACAAACATACCAGACTGTAATCCAAGGATTTTAGATTAAAAAAATCCAAATCCAAAGGAGGAAATCATATTAGAGCCTACATTGTGAGCACCTGATTTGCATAAAGCTGTGGATGACAGTAGAAGCCCATTTGCAGAGTCCCCTCAAGGTTTTCTGTCTCCAGCATACCCCCTCTGCCACAGTCCAGCCTTGCTGGGGCACAGAGCATTGTAAACTCTTTTATTGCAGGTGCCACTGGGTGAGAATATAATACCCAATCATTTCATTTTATCTCCCTTTTGACCTATTTTAAATTTGTTCTAGTTTTTAGTATTTTCTGCTCTCTTTTGAGTTTGTCTCTGGTTTATGTTACTGTTTTGGGTTGTTGTTGCTGCTGGGTTTTGTGTTGTTGTTTTTCCCAGTATATGAAATCCAGGATGGGCAAATCTACAGAGACCGTAACTGGATGAATAGCTTATTGGGGGGATGAGGAGAGAGGTTAGAGGGAAATGGGGAGCTAACAATGAGTACCAAAAGGAGGGAAATGTTCTAGAACTGATTGTAGTCATGATTATATAATTCTCTTTAATATGCCTGAGCAACTTAAGTACAAGATATGTAAAATATGTCAATAAAGCTATTTTTTTTTCATGTAGATTCTTAAATTCTCTCCTACGCTCAACTCACTAATACGAGTCAATCCCAACGCACAGCCACCTGATAGGACAGGATGGTTTCGTAGACTAACTTCACAGTAGGAGCCAGTCTCATCTTTCTCCATGGGAGCAGCTGGTGGCTTCCAACTGCTGACCTTGTGGCTAGCAGCCCAACCCATAACCCACTGTGCCACCAGGGATCTCTCACGACGTAACATGATTAGCCATTATTAAATCCAGGCATATGCTCCTATAAAGCGAGCAGGCAGTGACAGCAAGATATAATAGATACTAGAAGATTGGAAGTTTTTAGACAGAAACATAATTTTTAACTTCTACTATTTCACTTATGGCTTATTAACTGTAACTTGGTCACTACGCATTTTCATCTTTAAAAAAAAAACACTTGTTTTTAAGCATGTCCTCATTTAGTTTTAACAAATTTACTGTTTCAGATTAAGATATATTTCTCTATCTAAAAAGTGGTCAATAATCTGAAAACATACTTAAACTTGGGCCAGACAATTATCCAATGATGTTTACATTAGCATGTGAGGCTGATGCTTCTGAGAGCACGACTGGGGATTAAAAGGCTCAGGATACAGATCAATGTGACATACATAGGACTATCACAATAGGATAGATATAATAATTAGATTTATTTTTTCAAAAATATATTAAATACAAACTTAACCCAGTAGAATTTATAGTAGAAGACTTTTCAAGTATTTGACTTTTTGCCTTATGGCAATGAAGTAGAAACCATCACTGTTCCCAACAATACGCATAAATCACACTTAATTTAAGAACAGTCATTTAATAATTTACATTTTTCAGAAAACATCACAAGTGAATTACCATTACACGGTAAACATGATCGAAATAAATCATAAGCTGTGAGAAGAAGAACATGATTCCCCCAACCCCTCCCGCAAAGCAGCATAAATCTCACATCCAACAAAGGTGAACATACCGTGAAATAAAGTCAGATACTAACAGAATTGACCTGTCAATTACAGGAAGAGGAATAAGAAACCATTTCTAACAGAAACGATCCCGGGAAGATACAGTTCTGAAAGATAATGAGGTTAAAAACTTCCACTTGAAAATTCTGTGAAGATTCCTTAATGCTCCATTGATTGTTCAGAAAATATGATTTTTCTCGAGCAGCAGCTTCTAGCAGCAGTTCTGGAATGCTAGTTGCGACTCGGGTGCTGTATTAACATGAACAAGAAAAGAATGTTATTAAAGCTGCAAGTATGTTTTTACCTCCTGCAAGAAGTCTTCTCCGAATGCTACCAGCCTTGTAGATGTGAACCATGACTACATTTCAGTGAATTTCACTCCTCCACTCATTCATCATGAATAAAGTGACCCTCACTCTCAAAATTAAAACACACACAAACAATAGAAAAATAACAGTAAAACTTACTGCTGCCTTCAAAGCATGAGCGATATCCTCCACTAGGTCTTTTTTATCCTCTAAGCCCACCGAGAGCCGAATCAGGGTGTCACTGATCCCGAGGACCTCCCTGTCACTCGTTGGCACAGATGCATGAGTCATGATTGCCCTGAAAGGAAGAACATCTTTTAGATCACCACACGGGCTCTGGACATGAATTCTAACGGGACATTGGTTAAGCGTTGGGATCCTAATAAAAAGTTAGCAGCTCAAACCGGCCAGCTGCACTATGGGAGAAACATGAGGCTGTCTCCTTTTGTAAAGACACCGGCTCGGAAACACAACTGAGCTGTCCTGCTCCGTCCTACAGAGTCCCCATGAGTTAGAATCACCTCAACAGCAACGAACTAGGGGTATTCAGTCCACGAAACCACACGTGTCTCATGCATGGTAATTACTCAACCATCAAAGACTTCACTGCGTTTGCAGAGCAGGAATGAAGGGGAAATGTCTTGCCAAATCAGGATTCTAAGTGAAAATCAGAAACGTTTATCAGTGGGTAAGACAAAGTCTAGCCAGATGTAGAGGGTGCCAGTCAAGCTCCCCACAGTGGGGAAGGCAAAGCTACCTGCATGTGGACTTTCAGACCCACCTGAAAGAGGCTTGGGCATGATGTCTCATACCCCCCTGACCAATCTGCAAGACAAGTTACCCAAATCTCTGACTCACAAGAGCCCTTTCAGACCAAGAGCCTGCCAGAACTCATTCTCTCTGCATCAACAGAACTGCCCAGAGCTGAATTTTCTGAGACAGATCAGATAAAGACCACCCAAGATTGTTAATTTTCTAAACCAACAATTCAGCAGCGGCAGCACCAGTACAAGAAGTGAGAAACAGAAAGAATGAGCCCTTTCCTTTACTATAAATTATGAAGCAGGAGCTAAATGACAACTCACAAAACAGAACAGTTAACAACAAATGCTAAATACGTCTGAGAAATCAGAGCTGGCAAGCCTCAGAGAAAGCTCCAGAGCAGAGGCATCACGGAGGAGGAAGGCCCATATCCTCGCTACACCCTAACATGGGTACTGCTGCCAACACCCACCTCTCCCTCCACACCACCAGCACAGTCACCGCTGGAGCACTGTCTCCTCTCACTTGGACCCATGCAAAGAAAAACGCAGCTAGGGCTGCAGTAAATGGATATTTTCTTGCATTATAATAAAGTCTTTACACTCTAGTATCTTCCTTAAATTTAAAGAAAATGTACATATAGAAATAAGAATTTACGCTTCAGTAGCCAGTAGACATGGGGATGAACACACACTGGTTACAGGACTTATAAAAGTTACCTGTCTTCAGAGTCAGTTTTTAAGTGAAAGATTAGCTATTTCCCCATTGTAGGCACCCTGGGGACATAGTGGATTAAGCGCTGGGCTGCGGCTGCTAACGACAAGGTCAGCAGTTCCAACCCATGAGCTGCTCTGCAGAAGAAAGATGAGACGTTCTGCTTCCAAAAAGATTGACAACCTTGGAACCCACGGGAATAGTTCTACTCTGTCCTACAGGGGGACGGTGAGTCAGGATTGATTCAATGACACTGGGCTGTTTTTCAGTTTTTGGTTTGTTTGTTTTTGTCCCTTATCGTATGGTTGGTGTCCCTGAGTAGTACTAACATGTAACATATTTTACTGCTCACTGAAAGGTTGGGACCCACTCGTTTAAATCTATGCAAAAGTACCGTGGAAGAAAGGACTGATGATCCACTTCTCAAAAACCAGTTACTGAAAGGAGCATAGCTCTTCGCTGACACATACCTAGGGGGGTCACCACGAGTCCAAAGTGTCTTAGTCCTGCATGCTTGCTGTGAGGCAGGTAACTCTGCGAGTTGATTCATGTGCATTCACTTTTTTTTAATATATAAGAACTGGCTGATTAGCGTCTGTCTCAAAAGCTTGTCACAGGCATTAATTTAAGGAGCATGCCTAAGCACTTCTAAGTACCTGGCATGCAGTAAATGCATACTAAAAATAACTCATCATGGGAGTCAGCACTCATTAAGTATTTAGTAGAAAACAGGGCATCAGTTTCAAGACTTACCCCGACGCTCACACCTCCCCTCATCCCTCCATGTTCTCACAACAACCCAGTGAGCTTGATACAATATGATCCATATTTTCCCACAAGGAAACCTGGTCTTAGAGAAGATAACTAGCATTTTGAAGGTCACAAAACTAGTATGTGGTGTCAGGCTGAGCAATTACACTACTACACAGTGGCTTCACTTCCTTCTGTCTGGACTCCACAGCTGCACTGGCTACAGCAGTGAGGAAACACAGACTGGGGGGTCATAGAACAGCCCTGCCCTGCCCTGATTCACGTGTCCACCGGCACTGTTGTAATAACCTAAGCTCAAGTGCCTGTGCCAAGCAAGTTTAAGCAATTCCCTAAATAAATCAGAAGAGGTCTATTTTAAAGAAGAGAACCGTAAAGCACTTACACATTTTACTGCTAGGAAAAAGAAACCAATTTCATATGGCAAGTATGCCCTCTTGTGCACCCAGAGTTACTAGCAGGAATCCTCTAGGAAGACTTGATAGAAAACCTTGTGCATTATTGGAATAATTTTGATTCGTTATCTGGCCATCAGATTTTTGTAGGCTTTAATAAGATGGTCTGAAAGTTCCCATGAGCTAACAGGAGATTGCAGGAAACGTGCCAAAATTTGGTAACCTTCAGCACAATGTTCTAGAACATAGTTACTCCATAACTGAGAATCAAAGCGTAAGTACAGTTGAAAACTATTAGGTAATGTTATTGATTTTACCCCTGCAACAATTATAAAGTAGGGTCATCGGAACATTCCAGGAGGCTTCAAAAAGTCACGGGAAAATTCCATTACATTTTCATTCAATTTTTCCACGAACCTTTGGAAGCCACTTAGTGCAATGCAGGAAAGATATAGTCAGAGGTACTTGATGGGATGGGCCGCCAGCAAGTGAAAGTCATTCACTGTATTATTGACATCATTTTATGAGTGAACAGTATGAGGTTCAAAGATTAAGGATTGAAGCAAAGCCTTAAAGCAAAGTGGCTAACATATTCCTGGGTTATTTTTTCTTAATATATTCCTGGAGTTGAGTACCATCAGCTAACCTTTCCAGATTTTTGTGTCTTTGATCTTAAAACAGGGTAAAGAACTACATAACCTTAGGCTTCTTTCTATTCAAATATCCCCTGGATTCCCAGGATCTAGTAAAATCTCTAACAACCAAGGGTGTGGAAGTGTTTTATCAGAGACACGGTCTCTATTTCACAAGGAGCCTTGAAGCCACCTTTTCAAATAAGTAACCTGAGTGAGATAAAGTGCTTGGCTTGAACTCATAAATCATAGTAATTTCAATTACAGCTACAATCTCCTTAGGGTAGAACAAGAAGAAAACCTAGAAGGATGCAGCCCACCAAGATTTAGTGGCATCGTTTATACTCAACTAGGAGAACTGGTGGCGCAGTGGTTATGAGTTGGGCTTCGAGCAGCAAAGTCAAGAGTTGGAAATCACCAGCCTGCTCCTTGAAATAGAGATGGGACTTTCTACTCCAGTAAAGAGTTACAGCCTCAGAAACTCACAGGAGCAGTTCTACTCTGTCTTATAGTCACTATGAGTCGGCACGGACTCAATGCCAGCGGGGTTTGAGTACTCTAGAAGTGGGATGGGGCAGTGTTCTGGGTCGGTGGCTATGAGGTGGAACCAACATTGACACACTGAGCAACAAACAGCAATAACCTAAAGGTTGATGGTTTGAACCCCCCCAAACAGTACCCTGGTAGGAAGGTCTAAAATCTGTTTCTGTTAAGACTACAGTCATGAAAACCCTCATGGAGTAGTTCAACTGTTACGTAAGGGGCTCCCAGGGGCTGGAACTGCCTGCGTGACAATGGACTTGGAGTGAGTGAGCGCGTGCTTGAGTGGGTGCTTCTACTCTCTGCTAGAGTCCATTCTGATTAATTAGTAACATGCTGTAGTTAAATAACTCGAACTACCCAATTGCTATTACATTCATTTCCCAATCCTTAGAACCTGCATCAAGAGACCAAAAGGGTAGCATTTGCCTACAACAACATTCTGAAGGAAGGAAGGGGCAGGAATGAAGGGGGAATAAGTAAGGAACCCAGGGAAGAAGTTGTAAGAGTGGGAATCCAAACTAATGTCAGAAAATAATACGCACACAAAATGTTGAATGGGAAATTCTCTGTAAACAATTATTCAACACTTAAACCACAATTAAATGTTTAAAAATAAACAAACTGATATCAAAACTAAAATACTGAGAAAAGCAGAAATTTACTTACGGAAGCTCAGCAAGACTTTCGTATCCTCCCAAACTCTCAGCCAGAGTAAAGAGCTACAGCAAAGAAACATTCACTTAGACCTCCAGTAAAATAAAAACGATAGCACCCAGAAGTAAATCTTTTCAATAGAGTAGAACAGGGGTGCAGAGCAGCAGTGAATATAAGTAAGCAGTTAACTAAGCCTGAAACTCGGAACACAAGAGAGAATAAAATCCCTAACAGTAGTTCCATCATGAAGACATGTTTTATTTAAACTCTGTAAATATTAAAGTGCATTAGAATGAGTTTCCAGGATCTCCCTGACTGGGAGATACTTAATATTCTTAATATTCAACATGTGCTCTAAACGCTTAGAATATTATATTTCAGATCTAGCTCCCTGGTTACCTTCTAAATAAAAATCTCTAAATATCTACAAAATTATACCTACTTATTTGTTAATATATATCAGTTTTTTTAATTATTACGGGAGACTTAAAAAGTTTATGGAAAAAAAAGTTTAATTGAAAGATAACGAAAAAAATAAAAATTTTAAAGGTAATGGAATTTCTCCACAAACTTTTTAAGGCCCCATCATACATTCATTTAACCCTTTAGCAGAGTAGAAAAAAACAAACCCCTATCTTGCCTTTTAGTGTTTTATAACCTACAGTCATCAAGTAGATCCCACCTCTAGCAACCTTCTGTTCTGTTTCTGAGGCTAATCTTCACAGGGACAGCCATCCTCCTGTTCTCTTGTAAAGCGGCTGGTGGATTTAAACCACCAATGCTTACACAATGGTGCGAACAAGGCTCCTTATTTGGTGCTACAGTGCCATACAATTTTACAAATGTTTTGAAAATGTCTCTCACAATCACATTAAATTGGGTATATATTACTGCCTTTCTGATATTAGAAGTGGATAAACGAGGTATCAGGGTGGCACTGATTGTCCAGGAGCATCCTATTAATTCTGTTCATTACCACTTACCAGGTGCTGATGGACCCCGAGTCACTCCACGTGCCTCAGAGTACCCTGTGCTGAGCAGTTTTCAATAGCTGTTTTTCTTAGAAATAGATTGTCAGGCTTCCTTTCAAAGGTGCCTCTGGAGAGAGTTGAACTGGCAGCCTTTCAGTTCAAAGCTGAGTGGATTAGCCATTTATACCACGCGGAAGGAGATCTGGACTATTTAAATCTGAGAATCTATTCTTGTAGGAGTCAAGGTAAACCTAGTTTATGCAGTGACACGAGAATTGTCCAGGGCCCCTGACAGCCTCCTGCCTCTGTACAAATTAGGAGAAGAGCTCGCCTTCCCCAGCCCCAACCACATCCAGCCTCAGAGGCAAAGGATTTAGAAAGCCCAAGTTCCAACAACCTTTAGCTTTTGTTTTTGTTTGTTTTCACAACAAACTTTAGAAGAAACTTTTTATGCAGTACACTGATCACATAGTACTTTAAAAGTCTCACAAAATATTTCCATTTTAAGTAAATGTGAAAACGAATGCATTACAATATGCCGTGTTTCTCAAAGGGACTGCAGTGCCGTTAATGTTTCACGACCCTTTCTGACTTGATGAAGTTAATGAGAACAGGGTGACTGGTGTGATCTGCACATTCAAAGCCATTGGTGTGGGCAGGGCTGGATGGAGAATTAACTGCTATGAGCAAGTGTTGAGGAGGTCCCAGGAGGTGAGTTCAGTGGCTACCGAATGGCTGGTGGTTTGAACACAGGTATCAGGGCTGTGGCCGAAAGACCTAGCTCGCCGCTTCCTGAAAGAACACAGACAAGAAGCCCCGGGCAATCCTCCTCTTCTACTCCACAAACAGGCTCACAGTGAGCTCAGAGCCTGGTGTGACTGGGTTTGAAGGAAGTCTTACCCCTAGGATTTAAATACCCATTTTGAAAGCTTACCTTTAAGTTCTTGAGGAAAGTCTCAGCATGCTGAAGATTACCCTTAATGTAGAAGGTAACCATGCCTGGGCAGCCTGTACACTGACGCTTGGCCAACTCATGCTGCGGGTGAGAAGGGAGTCCTATAATCAAGACACAATAAAAGTCTTACTTTAGCATCAAACTCATAATTTAAAGGGTGGGGGGAAGGGTTGGCGATCCACAGTACTTCAGTAAACTGAAAATAAACTTCATAATGAGCTATATGCTATACACATGCTCCTTACTTATCGATTATCTCATTATCCCACATTTTGCAATTCCCACAACAGTAAAATCTCTACGATCAGACTATTTTGGACAGAAACAAGCACCAAGGGTGAGGCAGGGTAGTCATGCAGGCTGTGGTGGCTCAAGTTATAAGGCCATTCGGCTGGGCCACGATTCACAGGGGGTTGGCTGTTATATAACTTATAAATATTATAAATATAATATATTGTGATCTAAAGCAGCTCTCTTCCATTTTCACACAATGATGTTGTCTTTGAAACCTAACTATAGTGATCAGTAAGAAATGAGTATACTGACACACAGCAGTGCTCAATAAATCAAGAAGAAATTACAGGGGGAAAACCCCAACATGCAAATAAATGTTACATAAGAAGTATACTTATAATAAACAATCTTTAAAATATAATATGTATCCGTTTAGAAATCACACTAACATACCAGGATAAATAACTTTTTCTACCAAAGGATTAGACTCCAGAAATTGAGCGACTGCCATTCCATTTTCAAAGTGCTTATCCATTCGGACTTGAAGAGTCTTCAGACCTCGAATGCAAAGGTAACAATCCAGAGGAGATGGAACGGCCCCAAGAGCTGAAAAAAACACATGCTAGGTTAGTTTTAGGTGGTGTATGTGTGTGTGTGTGTGTGTGTGTGTGTGTGTGTGTGTCTGTGTAAATCTGACCTCCTTTTCATTATTGTGACCTCGAGAAGGTAGTTACAAAAATCAATGTTTTGTATCAACGTATCAAATCAGCAGCATAAGAATGATGGGCTGCTACCCACATGGTCAGCAGTTTAAAACCACCAGCAGCCTTTGTGGGAGAAATAGGAGGCTTTCGGCTCCTGTAAAGATTTACAACCTTGGAAACCCAATGGGGCAATTCTACTCTATCTTGTAAGGTCAGTGAGTCAGAACTGACTCAATGGCAGTGATTTTTATTTGCTTCCAGAAATAAGTCATCATTTATTATGAACGTCATAGTTCATTTTTATAAAGGGAAAAAATCAAGTCTATAACTTAAAATATACTTGAGCTTGACCAAATTGCAGTCAAAATTAGCATGGATTTGAAAATAATCTAACTCCTCACATCATAAAAATGTGCTTACACTATAAAATTTTCTAAATTCCATTTTTCTTCCCTCTATTTTTCATCTTTTTCACAAAATATTAAGATACTATCACTATAAAACTCTTAAAGGAGGGCCATAAGTCAGTCAGCAAATACTGAAATAATGTCTCATGCTGTTTATTTGGATGTATGAAAAAAAACTTGTTTGAGGTAAGAGAATTCGGTTAACTTTAAACTCACAGACCTGCCCGTCATATTTTTCAGGACCGAGCTCTTTCACTGCGGGCAAATAGGTAGAAATCATACTGGGGAGGGAAGGGGGATACTGTATGGTATTGCATTTAGGTTCTAAAAGAATCTGCAGAGAAATGTATGCAAAATATAATTTTCTCTCCTTCATTTTCATTAGGGGAAAGAAGGTCTAAGTTTTCCCAGAGCAATGTACTCCTCCACTGAGAGGCCTCTGGAAAACAGAACTACTGGGACACCACGGTGTGTGCTGGTGGAAAAGAAAAGCTCCCTCAGGCTTCTGGAGGGACTAACTTTTAAAGCATTTAAATGGCTACGCTTACTTGGGGCGGTCAAGAATTAAACTTGTCAATTTTCACATTGCTGTTACATCTGAAATAAAGAGAGGTGATGTTCTGGTAGTGGTCTGTGATGTCTGGTAGAAGTTAAAACCCCACATTTTGGTGTCTTCCATGTCATATGCTGGGTCAGCAAGTATTGTCACACCTAGTCATTTAATGTTTCCCATGCTTTATCTACATTTATTTTCTTCCTATCTGATTCGAGAATCATTCAAATAAACCAACTAACTTGACATAAGAAAAGAAATGTAAAGAACAAACACATTTATGGACATTGAGGGAGAAACCTGGATTTTTGTATACTCACAGTTTTGCAAGAAACGAAGCCTCTTATGGAGAGCCTCAGAATTAAGAGACACTAAGCCCATGACAACATCACTGTGGCCTGAAACAAAACAAAACAAAACCCCAGCTGCATGACTAACAATTTAAGTTTATATTTCATTTTATAATTTCACTTTAAAAAGCTCTCAAAGGAAAATTCCTAAAGTAAATTATATCCAAGTCAATATTAATAAAATAACACATAACCACTAAATAAAAATAACCATTTTTAAAGCTGTCCTCCTGGTTAAAATATTTTGTAGTAAATTTTGATCTTCCTATGAGAATAGTTACCTCTGTAATACATGAAACCTTATTTTGAAATCAGATTTATTTTCCTTTCTGCACACGGCACAGAGAACATCTGAATACTCGTGTCATTAAATCAATTCTGACTCACAGCAGTCTTACAGTAGGACAAGCAGAACTGCTCCTTAGGGTTTCTGAAACGATAAGTCTTTTTACAGGCACAGACTGCCTCACTTTTCCTCTATTGAGCAACTACTGGTAAGGTCTGAAACGCCATCTACGGTTGGCTCCTTAATCTACTACGCCACCGGGCTCCAGTGGAGAGATCAAAATATCAAGCCCTATGCTATTTTCATGAGCCCTGTGGCGTATTGGATAACAAACACACTGGACTGCTAACTGCAAAGTCAACAACTTAAAACCACCAGCCAGGGAGAAAACAGAGGCTTTCTACACCCATAAAGAGTTAGAGTCTCGATGATGCCCAGCTATTACAAGATACAGCATCTGGGGTCTTAAAGGCTTGAAGGTAAACAAGCAGCCATCTAGCAGGGAAGCAACAAAGCCCCCATGGAAGAAGCACACCAGCCCGTGTGATCACAAGGTGTTGATGGGATCAGGCATCAGAAGACACAAAACAAACAATCGTATCGATGATGCTTATGAGGGGGAGCAGAGTGGAGACCCAAAGCCCATCTGTAGACAACTGTGCATTTCCTCACAGAAGGGTCACAAGGAAGGACTGAGTCACCCAGGGTGCAGTACAGCACTGACAAAACACACATTCCTCTAGTTCTTTAACGCTTCCTCCCCCTACTATCATGACCCCAGTTCTATCTTACAAATCCGGCTAGACCAGAGTATGTACACTGGCACAGATAAGAGCTCTTGACACACAGAATCCAGGACAGATAAACCCCTCAGGACTAATACTGGGAGTAGCAATACCATGAGGGTTGTGGGAAGGTGGGGGGAGAAGGGGGAAACCGATTGATATGATCAACATACAATGCTCTCTCCTCCCAGGGGGACGAACAACAGAAATGTGGGTAAAGGGAGACAGCAGATGGTGTAAAATATGAAAATAAAAATAATTTATAAATTATCCAGGGTTCATGAGGGTGGGGGAGGGAGGGGGGGAAAAGGAGCTGATACCAAGGGCTCAAATAGGAAAAAAAAAACCATTTTGGAAATGATGATGACAACATATGTACAAATGTACTTGATACAATTGATGTATGGATTGTTATAAGTGCTGTAAGAGCCCCCAATAATATGAATTTATTAAAATTAAAAGGAGAGTTACACTCTCAGAAACCCACAGAAGCAGTTCTACTGTGTTTTTCCTATAGGTCGCCATAAGTCATAATCTACTTCACGGTAGTAAGGTTGTTTTTTGGTTTGCTTTCTATTTTCATTTACCAATGGGAACAAACATTCAAAACGTAGGCTGTGCCTATCTTACCGTTCATATATTTTGTTGCTGAATACATGCAAATATCAGCTCCCAATGATAAAGGCCGCTAAAGGAAATAAAATATTTTTTAATTTAAAAAAAACCTTGGAAATATACTTCATTTCTCACCTACTAGCTATTTAAAATTCTATTCTCATTCCAATCATAACTCACTTTTCAAAAATAAACCTTAAAAACTCCAAATTTCCTGGTATTATGTTCCCCTTTACTCCCTCTCACCAAGTAAAAACGTAAAAATGTGGACTCTTAGATTCAGTATTTATTCAGTAGGCAAAGAACAGATAAGGCTAGGTCAACAGGCTCTTGCACCTGTTTATTTAGAGCCTGTTGATTTAGTGCCTATAACACATACACTGACATTACCTGGATCATTAAACACATGCAATCATTTATATAAACATCCAGCCATTCTTTTGACAATATAAGATTATTCTGCTTAGATTTCAGGCATTTAAACCCACAATATTATTCACACCTGGCTTGCCAAGATCTTGACTCTTAATTACTCTTTTACTACACTCCTTTTGCCAAGTGTAAAGTCACTTCTATGGAAACCCACTTGAGTTGTCTACCCACTCAATTTTGCTGCATCTTAAAAGTGTCTTTGTTTACATAAGTTAGCCAACTTACACACCAAATATTGTATCATTAATCCCTTTCCTTTTACATTTAAAAAAAATTCAATGAAGTGAGTATGTATGTGTAGGTCCTTGAAAACACAGGCTAAGTGATCTTTCGGAAGTCTCTGGAAGCTCTCCGTGTAGGGAGATCTTTTCACTTCAGGTAGCTGAACAAGACGTGTTAGGTAAGGTACTACCATGAGGGTACGACAGAAAAAGGACATGTTCAGGAGAGCATTTGAGGTAAAACCAGTAGACAAGGTAGTCAAGTGGCTACTAAAAAGAGCGGGGTTCAGAATGATTCAGCTGGAACGAATCCGGACTGTCATGAAGTAGATGCCAATGGCTGCCATAAGGACTGTGAGGTGGGCTTCAGACAGTGACAGTAACAGGAGACAGAGAGCCAAGTCTGAAGAGTAACTAAAAATGTTAGTTCTCTTTGGAATACACAAAACTCACTGGGGCTGAGCTTTAGAGACCTTTGGATATATGAGTCTAATGTGAGTACTATGTGCTACGGAGTTGCAATAATGACTCAAAGAGTGAAAAGCAACTGGATCACGTCTATGATGCCAGGGGATATTCCCTAGCAAACAGCGTGTGTTACCTGTTAGAACTCAATGCAAACCAAACTCACTGCCATCAGGTCAAGGACTCCTGGAAGTCACCCTGGAACTGCCCTGGGGGGTTTCCAAGGCTGTAAATCTTTATGGAAGCAGAAAGCCTCTTCTTTCTCCCACAGAGCAGCTGGTGGTTTCAAACTGCTGACCATGTATTTAGCAGCCCAACTAGTAACCCACAATGCCACCATTGATATTTATCATGAGCCACAGAGAGATAGCTCTTGATCCCTCTGAACACAGTACACTTAGGAACTGAGTTTCAGAAATGCAAAATAAAACACAGTGGTGCTTTCTGAATAAAATGGTGGAAGGCGAAGATCAGGATTACCCAGACTACTCATGGAGTCTGCCAGTCAGAGCAGCAGCAGTTGGGGCAACTTCAGGAGCAGTAACAAAAGGGGAATGGAAACCACTGAACGTGTATGCACCGCTCTAACTGAAGAACTGGAGAGGACGAGCTAGCAGGGCCTCGACAAGTCTGAGGCACACAAACGAACTATGGGAAGTGTAATAGGAATGATCACAAGGTGCAGGCAGGAAGAAAAAAATAGGAAGACATTGAGTTCTAGGGAAAGCATACAGAGTTACAGTACTGAGCAGAGAGAGGGAGGAACAATGTGCATGAATATACAGACACTAGGTCAACTAAGGAAAGATCCCCAAACATCTACCAAAAGAAGGAAAAGAAGAAGTAGGAAAAACAGAGGGGAAGGAAAAGGAGAGAGTGACAGGCGTATGGGAGCGTCGGGGTAGTTATGCAGAAGGGGAGTCAGGAGAAATGTGTCCGGTGAAATCTGACACACGAGGAGGACTCAAGAAGACTGCCCTGTTCTGCTGGGTCTTGCAAGCTCTCTACCTTTGATAGGGTGCAGTCTAATCACTTTTCCATCACGACTGAGTGAAAATACTTCCCTTCTCTGGCCGGTTTCTTGCAGGCTTTACTGTACATACAGCTACCAGGAATTAAGCATGTAAACATGCCGAGGGGTCCTATGACTCACTACAGAGAAAGAAACTGGAAAATAGAGGAGTGCAATGTGTGATATATACTGAGATATCAATTAACATAACTTTTCATTTCCTTCTATTTGTAGAAAGCTTAGCCAGGTTAAAATTTTTACATAAGCTGAAGTGTGTGCGATGTAATTAAAAGCAGTAAGAATGGTTTTAAGCAATACATAGGCATTCACAGCCCTACTATGTAAAAGGCATTGACAGATGCACTCGCATAGGAGAATCTGAAAGTTATCATTGAAAGAACATCTAAAGAGCACAAAGTATCAAATAAATATTAACTTATAGCAGAAAGGTATTAACTCATTATAGAAAAGATCCAAATTTAATTCTATGTCTTGCCTACAATGACAGGCAGATTCCACTATCTTGAAAATGCTTTCAACGTAATTATAGGTATCTGGATAGCACTCAAATTATGCCCAAAACATTTCTTTTCACTTACTTGGAAATACGCTGACATAAAAGTGTTATCCACCACCATAATGATGTCTCCGTGTTTATGGATAATCTGCGCACAGGCTTCTATGTCAATCATCTTCAAGTTGGGGTTGGTGGGGGTTTCAAGCCAAACAAGCTAAAAACAGAAATAACTCCGTATATACCAGGCTGTAAAAATACACTTCACAAGCAAATATCTCATGTGTTTTAACAATTTGGGAGCTCATTTTAAAAATAAGAGTATGGATTATGAAGATATTTAAGTATTTTTTAATCATTTTATTAGGTGCACA